TGGCTACCTGCCCCAGGTGCTCGCCGAGGGGTGGGCAAGAGGGATTTTGGGGCAGGGAAAGGGCTCTTCGCAGCTCCCCGACCTTGTGAAAGCTTTTGGGAAGGAGATGGTAAAGCCGAGGGTCTCTTCGAGCTGTACCCTCGTCCAGCGTTCGACGCAGGCCCTGCAGCTTTCGGGGCCCTGGGAGGGTGCCAGCAGGGAGCACCCCGTTTTGTCGAGGCGCTGCGATGTTACGCCGAGTAGCGTACGCTTCTCCGGCGCTGGCACGGGGCCAATATTGATAAGGGTAGGGGAAACACGCGGTAGCGAGGGCCATCGTGAAACCGAAGTACTGAACAGTTTCTTTGGATTTCTGCCACTTCAGCAAAAAAAAAAAAAAAAATTTGAAAGGGAGTCCAGTATCCAGACTTGGAGGCAGAAGGATATTTTTTGATAAATGATAATGTAACTTGAGAGAGTCTGTTCAGGAAATGACCTTTTTGCTTCTTCCAAAATAATCAGCGTGTTTTGTACTAATACCCCTACGCAAAGTGCAGAAGAGAAGCCACTGGGCTGATGTGGGAGCAGCTGTCTCACACGTCTAGCTCGCTGGCTTTCACTGGACTTGCATCAGATTTTGTGAGGAAGAAACGCTTCAGTCGTACTGTGGAGGGCTATATTGTTACCAAGTTCAAAAGGAAGTCAGGTTGGAGAAGGAAGGTTGGAAAATCCAATCGCAACAGCTAGGGAAACATGACACAGCAAACAACTTCAGATGGGTTTCCTTGTCACTGTTTTATTACACACATAAGGACAAGATCTCCAGATAGCACTTCCTCTGCCATTTGAGCAATGAAGAAAATTCCCCAGGTGAATTGACTTCAGACACACCTAAACTTTGGCAGCAGGCAGACAGCTATTACAGATCTCCTAGAGCAAATTGTGCAGAACCTGTCATTGCTGATAATGCTATGGTTTATTCTTCCCAGTTCATTAATGCTTAGCTGTTTTGTACTCCTGTGAACTATTGTTGAGCTATTTCTTTCATTTGAGATAATTTTCTCCTCTTGGAATACAGAGGAACCAAATTTCAGTTTCAGAAATTAAAAAATGAAAATAATTGAAGTACAGTCAAATGCTGTACTTCTTTGGCTAAGAAACTCTGGCTTGGGTGGAAGCCAAATTTGTTTTTCAAAAAGTTAAATTTGCAAGATACGCTTTTTCTCTTTTTTGAAGCTAGCGTTGTTGTAACACTTGTTTTTAAAGGTCAGGATTAGAGGTCTTTCCAACATCCCTGTTCCATCCTGACGGGGGTGGGGGGAAGAGTGGAAGCCAAACAGTCAAAATGCATTTCTCAGCTACCTCTTTGCTATGGCATGTAAAACACACACAAGAAACCAGTTAGCTGTCAGTTAGTGGCATTCACTTAGTTTTGTTTGTGGGTACAGCACAAACACAGACACCACACTTCAACATGTGTCCTGTTTTAATATGACCGCAAACCATTCCCAGAGTTAATGGTTAATAACTCACTTAAGCCTAGAGATTTTTTTTTTTTTCAGTCAAAAGCTTAAACCAGTAACGGATGAAAATACTGAAGCACATTATTATAGCCATACAAAAATAATAAAAATGACATAGGCCTGGTTCTACAGACTTTACTGAGGCAAATCTTCCATGGAAAGCAATAGCAAATTGTCCCAAGAAAAGATTGCCAGACACACTAATTGTTAGAGAAATGCTTTAGCTACTAAAGAACTTCTGAGAAACCCAGTAATGCCTCAAAGGGAAATCAGATATTTTCATCAGCGTACCCAGACGCTGCAGCATCACTGTCCCCAGATCTGTTCATAATATTTTTCCTAACCCTGAGACAGGTTGAGCAGTTTTCACTCCATTTGGAGCCAGTGGCAAGGGCACCCTGTCTTGCAAAATCCAGACAGATTGCTGACTGAGTCCTTTCCAGTTATTTTGTTGAATTTATGATCAGACCCAACATGAATAGTCAAGGATAATAACTGTTAAATAAGCACAACTCCGAGATAGAAAGTTGTCGCTTGAAGAATGTTGCCTCTCAGTGATGCTAGATAGCCAGTGAAAAAAACGAAGGAAAGTGCCTGAAAAGAACAGCTTATCTAGAAGTACATGAAGTCAGAACAGTCGCAAGTCATGGATTTCTACTGTTTCCCCCGTAATGAGATATGAAGTCTTCTATGTGCACAGTGTACTTGGATACAGTAACTGGTTTGGGCACTCGGGTCAAACACAAACCGTTAACATCCTTCTCTCTAAAGCGCCTGCCACATGTAGGCTTAGCATTTACTGCACCTGGTTTGGGGTCAGGCTCTTTTTCCTCGAGCGAGAGGTACATTTTACAGCAGGGTGGAAGGGACCTCTAGTGGGTCGTCTTAACCCTAACAGCCTAATATTTTTTTTTACATGTTGTACGCAATATGTGAACGCAATCATTCCAGTTTCTATTGCCTTCCTACTCCATGTGTGTGGGTGAGCTATTGTTGATATCTCCATTATGAAGCATTTCTTACATCAGCCTTCTTGGGCAAGTGTTTTTCCCTATTTACAAACACAGGAGTTGTTTGAATAACTGAGGCAGAAGGTCAAAGAGATATGTATCTACCACATCTTCTTTGTTTTGAGAAGATTTTTGATCTAGAGCATACAAAGGAAATTGGTAAGCCAAATGTAATCCTTAAGTCTGGCAGAGTAATGAAAGTCATGTGAAATGTAACACTACGTAATGTTATACAATCATCTGGAATAGCAGAATGTTATTTGGGGCCAGACTTGATGCTAAATATCATACAGACATTTAAACAGAAACCCACCCTCTTTGGCACGGTAACCCCTCACACGTCAGTCCCTGCATTATTTTGGAAATGCATGCTCACTCAAGATGTAGATCTGGTAATGCTCTTTGACTGTCTTGTGTGTACTGGAACCAAACCTTCAGATTTCAGCTCTGTAAAATGGAATAGCTTTTCAATCGAGAGTACTTTAATAGCAGGCTTTACAGATTCGAGATTTTGTCACAGTGAGTAAATTGACCAAATACACATTACAGGATTAAGGCAGCTTTAGGCTGTCTGTGATAAAAGGAATTATCCTTGGGAGCCTACAAGAGGCAGTAGGAAAGCTTTGCTCATCACGAGACATACAGTTTTAGACTCAGTAAAGCGCTGAGATTTTGTATCCTTTTTATAAAGTAGAAGAGTGACAGGAGAACTGCGTTTCCCATGCAAGTATCTTGGGAAAATCGATTACCGAAGCAAGGAATGTAGCATGAGCCACAATGGACAGCTTGACAAGCAGCACAGAACTATGTCACTCGGAGGAGTCCACGGTGCTAGCTTTATTAGCATACTTGCAGATCAGACTGACCTTACCGAGAAAGTTGTTAGAGATGGCTATTGGAGAGCTTCAGGGAGTGCACTGGTCAAAAAAACTCTCCTGGGGGAGAACTTGAGCTTGTGTTAATGGTCACAGCTGCACTGAAGAGAAAGAAACAATATGGGTTCAGCTCAGTATGACCGCCTTGCCTTTTTGCTTGGGGACATTGAGTTGAAGGGCATAAAATATTTGTCCTAAAGCCTGAAGTCATCCAAAACTGATTTTGGGACACTTAAAACATAGACAACGTTTGGTGAAATGTGTGCTCACAAACCTGAGTGTATCTCAGCCTGATTTTGAGCAAGTACATCTCCTGTATGACTTCATGTAAAAACAACTGTCAGTCTCATTGTGGAACTGGGGAAAGCTGCTGTTTGAATATTACGCTGAGTAATAGGGATGTTGTATCCCTTGCACCCATCGCTTGAACCCAACACTCAAACAGTGCGGCTCTACCGAGACAAAAAGTGAAGGAGATGCTCTTAAATGATTGCTACTTGGAGCTGCCAATTTCAAATAGCTCAACTGTTGATCAAATCACAAATCTAAAGTTTGGCTGAAGGGGCTGAGAAAGGTAAGCTGCAGAACACTCCCGATCATTTAGCATACTGTCTTTGTCCACCACATTTTGAAACCTGGTAACGTAGCAGGATAATTAGGGATGGGACGGAAGGAAGGAATATTCACTGACAGTTATGTGTCTTCTTCCATTTCACCCACATGCAGAAACAACTTTTTATCCAGCTAACTGACCAAATGATTATATGGCAGGCAAGGCAGTGAATTCATTTTCTTTGGACAGTAAGAATCCAGTCACAGGCACCACCCTGATGCAAGATGAGAGGATACATAGCAAATCTCAGCACACAGAAGGAGGGCAAGTGGAAGGATGAACAGTATTATAGCTTTCATGGGAACATAACTAAAATCCCAGCTTGTGCTCTTTCCGTGGTTCACAGTGCAGCTGTGCGTCTATCCCACATCAAGAAAAAAACATGTATTTTCTCACGGTTATTTATTATCCAGGTGCCACTTGTATCTTCTTTCCTCAGATATTTCATACCTTCTTTGCCAGTGCAACATCTCTAAAAGACAGATAGCTAACTGTCTCCCAGTTCCCTGAAAACAAGACAGAGGCCAGTGAACCCAAAGGTCACGAAATCTGGAAAAGTACCAGAGACCCACTCAAACAAACCAGGATGCTCTTGAAGAAGACTCAGTGCAGAGGGCTAGCACAAAATTCAGAGAGGGCAGGAGACAAGAAATTTGGCCCTGAAAGTTCACGCTTAAAGGAATAAAAGGCATCTAAAACTGTAATGAGACACAAGTGGCCAGGCAGTAAAATCAACAGGAGTGGCTGAGGCTCATCTCCGCTAATGCTCAGGCTGCTGCCTCTCTGGATCGCTCATTACGGACTGAAGTGCCTATGTTTCAGGCACCCAAATTTTAACATTTTTTCCATTACGCTCCTGCAATTGCACTTCTTTAGATTTAGAAATGAAATGCAGCTTTATGTATTTATTTATGGTTTTGAAGTACATGACTGAGCACAAGAAAAGTATTAGAATGATGCTGTATAAACACTGCTTCCGGCTGCAGCGCAAGTACTTGTTATTCCCTCTCTTGCTTGACTGCAGTGCTCCATTATCTGACCCTTTAGTTTTCCTATCTCTGACAACTGCCTTCCTGCTTTTACTGCCTGAAGTGTGATATATTAAGAGTTGTAATGCTTTCCTAGAACGGAGCAGTGACTAATGCAACTCCAGGTCCAGTGATGTGTGATCTGTCAGCTGAGAATTGTTACCCGCTTAGGTCTTTCCCTTCTCTGTAGGGAGCAGCTACCCTGACAAGCAGGACTTGCTCCAGCACTCTGACTTAACTGGATGTCTCCAAGCCTGAGAGCAGGTACACAGTCACTGTGGCCACCACTGCTGGAGGAGAGAGGAGCTCTGCCAAGTACTGGGCAATAATCAAACCCTAAATGTTTTTTTTCCCTTCCTCTCTTCTCTTCCTTTAGCAAACGGGCTGTATCAGAGCACCAGCTATTGCATGACAAGGGCAAGTCAATCCAAGATTTACGAAGAAGAATATTCCTTCAAAATTTAATTGAAGGTGTCAACACTGCAGAAATCCGTGCAACTTCAGAGGTTTCACCCAACCCTAAGCCAGCGACCAATACGAAGAACTACCCTGTCCGTTTTGGCAGCGACGATGAGGGCAGATACCTAACTCAGGAGACAAACAAATCACAGACCTACAAGGAGCAGCCCCTGAAGGTATCGGGGAAGAAAAAGAAAGCAAAGCCTGGAAAGCGTAAGGAACAAGATAAGAAAAAGAGGCGAGCCCGCTCAGCTTGGCTGAATTCTGGCGTGTATGGAAGCGACATGACCGAGAGCCCACTCTTGGACAACTCTGTTACTACACATAATCACACTTTAAGGTAACTCTGATACATCCTTTTTGGGGGCATGCCGTATACTTACTGAAATTGTTCTCCTTTGGTGTGTGAGGCCAAGGTCTCACTCAAACCTGGAGTAACAGCACATCCTTATGCTCATAACTGGGCAGTGGCTGTTCAAGCAGCGCACAGTCTGAAGTTGCTTTCTGGAGGTGGGTAAGTACCCTTTCCACTTTGCATTGGTGTTTTCTTCCTACGACCAGTGCAGCTCAGGTAAACCACTCCTTGCCAGAATGAGCTTCCTGAAGCTGAGTGAGACGTAAGTGAAGTTATTTCTGCAAAAAGAAAGCACATCATAACTGTTAAAATGCCTTTTCCTCTTTAAACCGTAGTGTCTCCCCATGTCAGATCTGGGTCCCACGCTTGGGGCTCAGCAGATTGAAAGATTTGAGTTTTATTTAAGGCTCTGCATCTATAAAATGGCGAAGTTTTCTTTCCTCCCTCTCAACGCCTCCCCTTTTTGGCGACTTTCCTACCCTTACTTTACAGTTTTTCATTTTACTGTTTAACCTTAGGGGAGAACACGGAAAATTTCTCTCTTAGTAATATCTGCAAACAACGCAGACCAGCCTTTCACCATAAAATTTTCCCTGCCATTAGGACTTTTTAATTCAGATCCATCTTTTTGCCAGCTCGTGAAACAACTACGTTGCTGCTGAAAAATGTTGAGCATTGCTTATGGAGAGAGACGTGCTTCCCTCATGTATGACAACGAAGGGTTTTCAGGGCAGTGGTGAGCTGGAGGCTTCAGCCTAGGTGGCCCACGCTACTCATCTGCTTCCAGTCATCTACTCACCTGCTTCCAGTCATCTCAGCTTGAGTGAAGTCTGCACACTTGCAGACAAAGCCAAGGAGTCCAATCCTCGGTTCTCCTTAAATGTTTGCATTTTCAACAGCAAATAAACCCCCGCCCTTTTCTCTCCTCCTCCCCTTCACATTGGAAGAACACAGACATAAAAGAAGTGCAACTTGCTCACAGTAAATCCCTTGGAAAGAGACGCCAGCTGTGGGATTTACTAAAATCCAGTCTTGCGTTAAGCTTTGCAGGCCACAGTCTGCAACAAGCTCCATCACTTCTACTTCTGCTGGCATCTACTGGATTTACTGGTATTCAGGGCTAGGCATTCAGTGTCCCAAACCATAAACCAGTTAGCACGGCTGTAGCAGTCAGTAGCAAAGTAAGAGAGGATGGTTTGTCTCAGCGCCTTATGAAAGGCACGCTCTGGGACTCTGGTCAGGAGATACCTGGTGTTTCCAGAGGTCTTAAGGAACTGTGGTGGCCAATAAAGAGCACCTGTCTTCAGCACATAGCAATCTTGAATGTAGGGACAAACCGTCCTAGGGCATTTCGACCATTCTTTTTTTTTTTCTTACTACTCTGTCTGGTGGTGTATCCACTGGAATATGCAAAAGGGTGACAGGTACAATCCTGTTGATTTTCCTGGTTCAGCCATTCTGTTTCAAGTACGGTTGGACCGCTGAAGGAAATCAGCTTTACTGTGGAGTCCAGACTGCTGAAGGCCATCTCCAGCTTCACCTTACTGATATTATTACCCTAGATGCAGTATTTCTCCAGGGCAAGAAAGAAATTCCTAAAGAGGACCTCTATTTTAGATACTTAATTGAAGATGTTTAAACAAAGAGAAGCCGTAAAAGAGGAAAACAAAATTCCTCCTTCACCAGTACAGAACATAATATGCTGGTTCAGCTCTTAAGAAGCTGCTAGTATATGAGCTTGTAGGTATCTCAATAGGCTGGGAAAAGATATAATTTCTAAACTTTAAATGAAAGCAGGTCCCAGCTCCCTGACAGGTTCTTTACACAGGGGGAGTCACGCTCAGTGCAGCTTTCTGTGTTGGCTCAAGGTGGGCAAGCACATTTTAGATGGAGGGAAGTCCATATCTGAAAGAGGTTGATTCCTCAGCCGTACTGAGCTGAATCAGGAACTCTGTTTGGGTGGGGGACAAGGAAGATGTGTGCAGAAAGGATTTCTGTATGCTACACCGGTAGAAGCTGCTCTTGTAGCACCCCTAAGGCCAGCTGCAGCTTAGGAGAAGCATCAGCAGCTTCATTACAGTGAAGAAGTGGACACACGTAGTGCCGCAGGGCAAGTGTCAAGGAAATGCAAAGATAAGCTTTAAACACGCTTTTCAGTGTATCTCTGTGCTTCTTTTCTCCTCGACACACTGAACTAAAATCTTTGTGCCAATTCCCTCTGCCCAATCTCAATCCCGAAATGTTGGGTTTAGGTCAGAAAAAAAGACCAAAAATAATGTGCTGTCTAGATCTTTTGACTTACTACAGGAAGTTTATCATAAAAGAAGCCAATCTTGCAAAATCGGGGATCAAATCACAGAAAGCAGCTTGCGAGCAGTCACTAGTACAGAGTCCATTGTCAAGATGTGGCTTAGCTTAAACTCTAAAACAAAGCCCAAAATCCAAGCCAAACTGAAAATGTGGCCCTGTTAAAAATAGGCCTCTGTGGCGCAGACGCACATACACAGTTGTGCTGCGTGAATTGTGAGCCAATATTACGCATATTGTAATATGGTCTGAATACACCCTAATATTACTAGTTAATTATTAAGGAGCTTCATACTAGCAGTTCCATTGCAGGCACTTAAAAAAATTCTTCCTCATGGACATTCCAGCCATATTCCCATTCCAATTCAATCAAGCTTTTATCACCTAATTTCCTAAGAAACCTTCCAAAAGAGTAGAATCTCTATTGTTAAATGTAGCCTCACTTTGAATGTGCACATAAAAAAACCCCTCCTAAGCCCTCGAGGATTTGCTTTTTTTGCGTGTCTCACTCCCACACACGTCTGCCATGTGGAACGCTACCCGCAGCTTCAGCAATCGGTCCAACAACAGAGCGGATCCTGCTCCGTCCTACAGCTTCTCGTTCCACCCTGTAGCTGTCTCCCAGGGAGTTAAGGTGCGTTACAGAAATGTGCCGTTCACAGGGACGGAAGGGTAAAAAGCCCGATCCTTCAGCATTTCCTGCAGCACCGCTAAGCAGTGACTTCAAATAATATCGTAGTGCAAGCAGTACACTGACAGGACAGGAGCAGGCTCTGCTTTTGGTCTCATGCCTTCACAGGGAAGCGAGGAGTACAGAACTCACACCAGGCTGCCAGCATCCCTTAGAAAATCCCCAAATCCTAGGACTGTACACAGCTGACTGTTTCAGCTTTGACTGAACGCAACAGGAATCGGAGCATAACACCACAAGATGCTCAGGTTTTTTCGCTCACAGAGTGCAAATTTCAGGATTATGGTCTTTTCATTCACAGAATCACAGAATCACAGAATAGTAGGGATTGGAAGGGACCTCTGTGGGTCATCTAGTCCAACCCTCCTGCCAAAGCAGGGTCACCTACAGCAGGCTGCACAGGACCTTGTCCAGGCGGGACATTGAAGCACTTCAAGAGACACGCTGTTAACGATCTGTTTCCTTCAAGACCTGAGCAGCCTTTACAGTATAAGTACCGCATGTACACGACAGCACAGAAATGCATACCTCTGAGATAAGCAGACCCTTGTCTAACAGGTGGTCTGTCAGTGGGGGAGATCGACCAAATAAGCCCCGGGGGACTGTTTTAATCAGAAGCCTGGCATCACACCCAAGCGGTTAACACAGCAGGCTCGTGATTGCCACAGTGTTCCATAAGGACTTTCTTTTTCTTATCTGCTGAACAAACTTCTCATTTCTCTAACTGTATATTTTTTTTATTTTAGCACTTGGCTCATATTTGTTATAGGTTGATACAGTTTTTCTACCTGTAGCGCTCAGGAATCTTCTTTCCTAAGGCTTTAAAGAAAGCTAAAGCCCCTTCCTATTTCTCTGAGTGTGCAATATAGTGGAATAGCTGGCCTCAGTGTCGTGACAAACTGCAATTCTTCATCCTCCGAGCTGCTTTGCATTGAAGGAAACATAGCAGAGGTCTTGAAAAGATGTCCAAAACCATGGCATTGTTAAACTGGCCCTACTATTACAAATGTTTACTAGCAAGGCACGCCCGTTATAGTCTGTGGCACTCTTGCTATTCATTTTGTGTCTATGTATTTGAAGTGAAAGTTAATGTTTCGTGTTTTTTCTGTCCTTTTTTTCTTCGCAGGAGGCGCTGACATTTTCAGCAAGAGATTTTTGGAAGACATATTGCAGTATTCTGTAATAGTGAACATATGGGAAGTATTAAAATATATTTATTACCTGTAAATACTGTAAATGCTCAGAATAAAACCTTTTCCCCCCCCATTGCTCTCTGAAACTGCACATTTGGTTATTGTGAATTTTCCTTTTTTTTTTTTTTTTGCTAAGGCTAAGACAATTGTTATTGTCACATTTACCATAATTTATTTTGTTGACCGGTGTATTTATTTTGTGAACGTATCTTGGTGCTGCTGACTTTCTATATTTTTTGTAACATAATGCACTTTAGATATACATATTGAGTACATTGATAACTGACATAAAATGTTCCCGTTTTGTGGTTGACTTCAATGAATGCCTACATACAATTGTTCAAAATGATTTTCCTTTGTGCATGTATAATAGCAGTATTTTAAAATTTGTAAAGAATGTCTAATAAAATATAATCTAATTAAATAATGACTCCGAAGGAAAAATGTGTCCTTTAGGAATTTCAAGAGCAGGAACACTATTTTTTTCTTTACTACATTTGAAAGTCATTTTAAATTTAATGTGTTTATATTGGTTCAAGCTCCCACATTTTCACATTAGCTTTTACTTAAAAATCACTCAGAACATATTTTGTTCCAGTGCTCTATTTCAAGTCAGCTAAGTTTTTGAACAACCTGGGGGTACTGTCACATAGTTCAGACCCCGCTGCAGGGAAAGTACGATTCCCAGCCTTTCAGTCCCCAGCCCTGCAAAGGCTGAAACCTTACATTCTCAAAATGAGAGGATGTGAAAAGCAGCCCCATGGGATGCATCACCTATTACACTCTCGGAAGGTGCTC